CCCCACCTTTGATTTATTTCTTTGGCAATGAAGAAATGGATTTGGCCGTCAATTGTTTGGAGAAATTAACGAGGGTTCCAAGATTTGACACACTTATCATGTTTCTTTCATCCTCAGACAACGCTGGTATGCATGCTTCTGTTTTAAAGTCCTTGAGATTTTCAGAAGCTTACAGTTGAATTCCTGGATTTCAAATGTTTTTTAATTAGAGTATACACACATCAATGTGGTATATCAGTCTCAGTGACTGGTACTGCTTGCACTGTGTCTTGATTGAATCATTCCATATTTTCTGATTTGTTAGTCATCTTGCCCATTTTTATAGGGTTTATGATTCATATTTTCCATTAGTTCATATCCTATACTAACCCAATAACCTTGCAAACAGATCTTGCTAAGATATGGGATGAAGTGTTTGACAAGGAGGCAACTCCAATTGAGTATGCCGAGAAGCTTGATAACCTACATACAAAGTACTGCCCCAAGCGATGACAAAGCTCAACAAGTTTTTACTTTACCCTCCTTCACCTCTTGTACAGTAAATTCAAGTTGTAAAATTTTGAAATGCTCCAACGACCCTTTTGAATCTCAAATTATATCGTGGACAACTTTTCCATCCATTTATCGAGATGTTAAAAGTACATTGCAACTTTTACTTCACTCCAGTTGGACTTGAATACTTTGAACTTGGAATTGTTGGTAAGAATGTGCTTGTGAGCGTCCATGTTTAGGTCGGGTGGACATAGCCTACTCTTGTTCAGTCATATTCATTGAGGTCCAAAGGTTAACGGTTGCGATAACATGTTTGTTCATGCCCTACCTATCATTCACTACCTTATTTTTTCAGACAACATATGTATATCTTTACATACTGAGTTGTTTCAAGTCACAATCAATCAATGTTATGTGGGGGTCTTCCAGATTTTGCACTATGCTTTTCACAAGGAGATCATGTGTCATTTACAATCATCTGACTCTTTCATGTTAACCCGACTATATTGTGCATCAAAAATAAACCCCTGCTATATAATACAAAAAATAACCCTACATGCAAGTAGATGCTTTGTAATCTTACAGATCAAAGATGATTTTCTGTGAACTCACCCAAATAATGCAAAAACAGAACCAGAATACTGATTGGCTATGCATATATTATGTGCTACACCTGAAAGATTTCTCTTTGAAGCAAAAGCGGTTGGAGATAGGAGGTTGAACAGAGTTTGTATGGCCAAGTAACTAGCAAAACGTAAAGACTTCTCTTCTGGGATGGATGAGCAACTAGCTAAGGAGGCGATAAAAGCAGGTAGACCATTGATCTTGCGTTAATAGTCATGTATATGTTTTGTGATGTACATTTTACAGTGCAGAATGGTCTTCAAATAGTTTTATGTTTCTTATAGAGGCCTGTCTAGTTGCATTAATACCAAGAATTTCCTCACACTTAAGTGATTGTTCTTAATGCATAGCTTGTTGCTGCATTTTCAAAAGGCCGAGGGAGTGATTACTTCTACGCTTCTTTATATGCTGGGCTTTATTATGAAAGTCAGGTTTCGTCACGCCTAGCTTGTTGCTGCATTTTCAAAACGCCTAGGCGGTCTAAAACACTTGAATGGCGTTTGCCACGCGTCAAAACACTTGAAAAGTACCCTGATTTCGGAGTTGGCCAAAGTGAGTTGGGGTTCCAAGTTTCAACATATCCAAAGTAGATATTGAAAAGAGAGAAATTTCACAGTAAATCAATCTGAGAGTTCAATTTTTTCTTTTTCTTTTTTTCGTGAGAATGTTTGCCTTCGATCTATATCGTTCTCTCGAGTGCTACTAAATTATGTTACCGCACACATTATTTTTCGTAGAGAATTGCATGCTGGGTTAGAGTGGTCTTGGTAATTGCTTCACTTTTCAAACAACACTTTACATGAAGAATAAATACCACCTCTCTTACTACTATACCCATAAAACCTTGTTTGAAATTGTTGTTCTCGTTGGCAAAGGGATTGCAAAATCACAATCTTGCAATTTTCTCACAACAAGTAAGAAATAATATCAACCTCTCAATTTCTTTCATAGTTAGTAAAATACGGAACGGAAAAAATACGAATAAAATACGTGCGTGTTTTATTTGGCAAAATTTTGGTAAGTTACAACTGAAAAGTTTCGCCACTATATAATATTTTAATATATATTATTTTTATTCAATAATATGTGAAAATTATGTGTGTAATACATGTATATGAAGAATTTACACATGTATGTGAATTTTGTGTGTATTATTGAAAATTTTGTAAAAAAACACGTGTATATGAAAATATATATATATATATGTATGTGCACAATATGTGTATTGTATGTTTGCTTTTTTTACAAAACGTGTATTTTACCCAGTCTTTAAGACGTGTATGGAAAACATAGGTGTTATTGAAAAATATGTACGTAAATGTATAATACGAGTACTAAACGGCAAAATGCTAAATTCTTTATAGCGTAATAACTTTGGAAAAGTAAAAACTCAAAAGGGGACAATAGAGACTCGGGTAATTTAGTAATAGTAATGGATAATGGTATAAACTACTCTTAGAGCACTTCCAGCAGTTTGCCCCTTGCCAGTTACTATTCACGTGAATAGTAGCTGCCCTTGCAAAAAGCAACCAGCAGTTGCCCTTTACCATGGCAAATACTATTCATTTTTTTGTTTTTTTTCACAATTTTTTTTACCTAAACAATTAATTTGGATAATATTTTTAGATAAGATTTTTGGATTCCTACATGGCAATGGCCGTTTTTTAAATTGTACAATTTTCGAGGGTAAGTCTATGAATATTGGGTTGTTTTATAGAATTTGGATTGCATAGGGTTTTTATATATTTTGGGATTTATGTTTGGGCTTAAATGTGAAGCTCCCCTGTATTATTCGACCTAGTAAAGAGCTATCTAATATAATATAAATATCTCATAAGGGGAGAAGAATACAAACACAGAAATTCCCAAATATTTTCACATAAAGAACATAAAATATTACCAAAACAGAGTTGGCAAAAAGAAAAAGAAAAAGAACGAAAAGGACCAGTCAGATTACTCTTTAGCTTTTTTCTTTCGTCTATGCTCCTGAAATGCCTTTGCAAAACAACCAGTCAGATTCCTCACATCCGTAGCCTCCACATCGTAGAATATCGGCACAAGCTTTTGCTCTAATTATTTTCTACAATCCATGAGTATTTTATTTTGTGTGAAGGAGGTGTGAAGCATGTTGCTGCTTATGTTGACACGTGTCTGCTACCTACAAAAGTGACATGTGGGGCCTTGGGACAGGTGGTGGTCTCTGCGTGGCTCTCTCTTTCGAGTCATCTCATCACCAAATAATTGAAGTAGATTTCCTATTGAAATTTGTAACTTTGTAATAGATTTGGGTAATCTTACCAAACCACAACCCAAAACAGGGGATGGAGGTCTCTCCACACTGGAGTTTTTCCAAGTGTTGTTGTTTTAACCGACATTGACGTGTTGGTCTAATTCAGGGGTGAGGTAGGTGTGCAAGGCACGTGAGTTGTTAATAGTGTATGTGAATTAGTTAGACAGCTGTATAAAGTGTCGTAGCTTAAAAGATTAAGAAATACAGAAATCAAGATTGCAATTTCTCTCTGCTTCATCATGGCTTCTTCCTCCATCAAGATTGATGGCTTGCTCAGTATGGTTACCATTCGTCTCAGTGACAACAATTTCTTGAAATGGACTCATCAACTCCCCCTCAAAAATCCGGATTTGTTTCCAAATCATACAAATAAGGATCCGGATTATCTATATTTTCCTTCATGACTTTATCCCATTCTAGATGAACCCCTGTCTTCTTCACTCTCACAAAATCAACATATTGAGGCCTTACAAGAATCGATACGTGGTCACCGTCTTCCAAATGGAGCACATCGTTTGACAACTGCCCCTGCCAAAGAGAGTCTTCAGGTTCGTCTTCAGGTTCGTAATGGTCTTCATGTCTCCACCAAAAAACAAGTGGTGTTCTGTAAGTTTTTAAGGAGGCAAATGCTATCTTGGTGTGCAAAGCAGTTTGTTTGGTAAGATTTCTAACGATAATGTCAATAGGAACTTGAGAATCTTCAAGTTTTGGCCTGTCTGCAGAGTAAACGAAGCATATAGTCAACCCTTTTAAATCACGACCCATGATTCTTTGAGGAACTTCAAAGAAGACGATACTGTCCACATGATTGACGAATTTGAACCACTTGGGAATATCATAAATTCCATTCAAATAAATTCCACCAAATCCGCAAGAAGTCCATCTCTGCACACCAGAAGCAAGACAGTCTTATACATGCTTGCATATATCATTACATGGGCAGCATCTGCAGCTGTGCCTCTGTGTTTGTGTGTGTGTGTGTGTGTGTGTGTGTGTGTGAGAGAGAGAGAGAGAGAGAGAGAGAGAGAGAGACCTGTAGGATGTTGTTCCTAAAATCGGCAGTCAGATTGGTGCAGCCTGCCATATGAATCCTTGTCATGGAGTTCAATGACTTATCCAAGCCTGGAACCTCAGTGAGTTTGAACGAATGACTGAGATACAATTCTCTCATATTCCACATTTGTGAAAAATCTGGAATTGTTTCCAATTCTGGGCAGTCATTTGCTTTCAGAACATACAAATTGGTTGGTAAATCTGGGATTGCACAAAGTTTTCTGCATGCATTTAAACACAAGACCTTGAGTTTTGAAAGACCAGCGAGACTTGGAAGGCTACAAAAATCATTGCCTCCGAGAAGCAGATGTTCTAAGGAAATTAGGCTACATAGATCCTTATGAAAGACCACCGAGGCTTGGTAGCCTACGAAAACCATTGTTTCCAAGATTTAAATCTGCTAAGGAAATTAGGCTTCTTCAGTTAAGCTGCAGCTTGCAAGAGCTAATTCCCTTAAAGAGCCATTTAAGGAAGGGGGCAAAAGATGTGTTGACGGTGACCCTGTCACACCACATACAGATAAAACTCTCAAGTTGTTCGATTATACCATGTCCCCTAAGCCATCGGCCAAGTTTTCAAAACTCCGACAACCATTCAGTAGAAGAGTTTCAATAGACTTTGATTTATAGAAATTCAGTGGGAGATCATCTAGATAGGTGCAGCCTTCAAGATTTACCAAAGAAAGTCTTCCAAGATCCCCGATGGATGAGTGAACCTTATACAACCACGTACAACCTTTCAATATCAACTTCTCGAGATTTGGGAATTTTGAAAAGTCCGGTGATTTTCTTATGTCATAATCATATTTGACATGAATGATGTCATCATCATTGACCAGATATGGGCGTCTTTCATACGCACAAAGATGGTAATCAATCATATTTTCGTTCATAAATTTGTCCCATACCAGACTAACACCTGTTTTCTTCACCTTCACCCATTTGTCCACTATTATTATTTCAATCAAGACTTTATCACCATCTTGCAATTTGAGCTCGTCATTTGATAACTGTCCCTGCCAAAGATAATAACCCTTAGTTCGACAATCGGGTATGATCCTGGCTTCAAGCTCAGTACCCTTGGTCATGTTTTTAATGCTAATGTGAAAACCAAGACTGATCCGTTCTGAAGAGGAAGAGAAACCGAAGGACAAAGTTAACCCTTTCAAATTACGACCAACACTTTGAGGCACAGTGAAATACACAATATCATCGTCATGGACACAGTCGAACCAATCAGGAATATCATTTCCACTCAGAAAAATGCCACCATATCCGCAAGAAGTCCATCCCTATACCATGTAGAGCCAAATTTCTATAAGAAATACATTCTTATGCATGCATGTGTACATGTGCACTGTATGTGATAGAAAGAGAAAGATGTATGAGAGAGAGAGAGAGAGAGAGAGAGAGAGAGAGAGAGAGAGAGAGAGAGAGAGAGGGATTAACCTGTAGGATGTTCTTCCTAAAATCAGCAGTGAGATTAGTGCAATTTCCCATATGAACTATTGTCATGGAGTTTAATGACTTATCCAGGCCTGGAATCTCAGTAAGTTTGCCCAAATCACTTAGATACAATTCTCTTATATTTGACATTTCTGAAAAATCTGGCATTTTTTCCAACGAAATGCAGCCACCTGCATTTAAGACTTCCAAATTTGTTGGTAAATCTGGGATTGCACGAAGATTTATGCACTTATATAAAGACAAATATTGAAGCTGTGAAAGACGACCAAGGCTTGGTAGGCTACAAAAGTCATTGCTTGCAAGATCTAAATTTTCTAAGGAAATTAGGCTACCGAGATCCTTGGGGAATGCATCATCAGTTAA